ATGTATAATTTTCCAGAAATGATACGTTAATTTTGAAACTTTTTTTATTAATAACTTTTTAACGAGTTAGGTCAGACGGTTAAAACTTCCTTAAGGTCACTCAGGGTAATGACCTTGACAACATATGTCAAGGTCAAGGTCATTGGGGGAGTCTCCCCTAATCTACATTTTTACCCTTATTATATTATTACATAATCTCGTATAAAAATGCAATATCTTTAAGTCTCTTTTTATGTTATGAAAATTTTGTAAAAATGAAAGTTTCAATATAAAAATTAAAAATGCTATATTTTTTGATATTTAAAAAATATATATTTTTATTTATATATAATATAAAAATATTAACACAGAGAAAATAATTAATGTACTAAGATAGGATGTTCACGGCTGTAACAGTCATTGTTTTATTTTGTTTTCAGATATTGAAGTTTTACTTGATTGAATAATAGCTGTGCAATTTTTTCGCTTACGCCGCTATGCTTTCCACACGCGACAAATCCTATTTCCTTTTCTAATACAATATACAATACTGTCACATTTTAATTAACTACTTTTCATATCAGCTTCGAAATCAATGCTTCACAATTCGATGCTCACTTCCGCTGCATTGATCGTGGCTTCAAATGTAAGTTTTATCGATACCTTGCTCAACACAAAATAATATGAAACATAAGAACGTGGCATGATTATAAAATTAATAATGTTACAATCTACTAAATTTACAATAAATTTTATACATTTCTAGAAATTCAAACACTTGTTTTACTTGTTTGTTTAATAAGCACGTTCCTATCGTAATCAAATACACGCTAGTATAGTCATGGAATAAAGTATGCAAGATATAAAGTGTGTGTGTGTGTGTGCGTGCGTGCACGTGCAAAAAAATAGACATCACGCAACACTCACGTCTGACACAAAATTCTCACATACTTTCCACAGAATACGAGGACACACGGCAGGCAAACACAACATTGCACAAACGCAAAGATAGCAAACCAAGGGATCAAATTGAAGAAACCTCACAAGATAGGGAAGAGGGGGTTCGATCAATAAAAATCGAGGAAATCGAAGAAATTGAAAAAGAAAGAAAAAAAGAAGAAATCGAAGAAGAGATTATTGAACTCGAACAGGGTTCAAAGGGCAAATTGATTCGTAAACAAAAACAAGAAGTGGAACAACAAATAAACATAGAGGAGGAAGAAAAAACTATTAAAAAAATTAGAAAGTCGTTAAAACCAAAAAAATCAAACATTGGTAGAGATGAGATACAACTGGAAGAGATAGAAAAATTTGAAGTAACAAAAGATCAATTATTGCCATCTATGATTTTAAATGTATCTAGTCAACGAAATCAAGTGACACCATTACATCATACAATCGAACAAGCACCTGGTAAACCTGAATCAGAAAAAGCTAAATATATATTAGACACTGTTGTTGCGCTAACGGAACAAATTACATCAGTACACGATAAAGAAATTGATCAAGTGGCGAGTAGCAAACCTATCAAACGTAAAGCATCAATATCAATCTCATTAATAGAACCATATTCTATCATGGAAACTACTGCACATATATCTACTAATGAATTTTCTGGACCTTTCAAAGCTACTTCTTGTGAAGCTACTCCTTCTGTAATAACGAAGGAAAGTCTTCTCATCAGCGAAACACTGACTCACGATGAAAGTGTATCAAATCTATCTTTGATTATACCAGAAACAAGTCGAAAAGCAGATGTACAAGTCACTGTGCAAGAAGCCACAACTATTGGAGAGATCATAGTTAATCAAAACGAAATACCAACCGAAGATTTTATAACACCTTTAAGTGTTAAGGCGGAAGATATTGTTTTACCACAAATATCACTTTCGGTTTATGAAATACAGGAAGGTTTGGTTGAAAATAAATTAGAATCTACAAAAACAGTATTTACAAAACCTCGAATAAACGTCAATGCAATGGAATCGTTAATAATAGAAGAAATTTATTCTGAGGATAAACCAGGAAAATATTATCCTGAGTTAATAGTACCTACTGAAGTCGCTACCAAATCAATAATTTCTCAACGACAACGCATTACCGAAGAAATGAATGCACCCGAAAAAGAAGGAGCATACATTTCAAGTAGATTACCGCCGAGTCAAACGGCCCACATTGAAATTTCATATGGAAATGAAACGGCTGTTATTCGTCATGATCTCGTACAGGAGCGTGAAGGCGAATATATTCCTGAATGTAAAGTAGATTCTGTCGAAATTACACCACATATCACCTTTTTAGAAGGAATCATGACATCAATGATTGATACTCAACAAAAAGAAGATGATTTAACAATAGAAGAAAGTAAACAGATCACAGCAGACTTGAATGTCGTCGAAATTATGTCAGCTATGACGGTGGAAACAATGGCATCTGAAAAAGAACAAGATTATTATCCTGACGAAAAGCCTACTACTAAACTAGCCGTTACATCAATTTCCCCTTTAGAGATCGGTTCTGTAACAGACACAATTGTTCAAGAATCTGAAGGAACTTATAGTATCGATCAAAAACCATTCGAAGTACTAGCGGAAACATCAGTTAGACCAGAAGAACACATATTGGTATCTCAAGTTCAAACCGCAGACTATCCCGCGGATTTTAAAAATATACTCAAGCATGTTTCAAAGAGCGGTGATGTATCCATTCAATTAACCGAAGCGAAAACAATCCTTGAAACGCTCATTCATGATCGAGAGATTAGCATGAAGGAAGATGCTAAACCGGAAATTCACACGGTTGAGATGATTTATGATGCTATCAGAGGTATCGAAATATCGCAAACGACTTTTGTAGAAAAAGAAGCCGAATTGAAAATTTTTGAAATGCCGGAATCACATTATGGAAAAACAGTATCTACTCATCCAATGATCTCTCTTGAAGTTCAAGAAATCCAACCTGAAAATAATTTAGGTAAAATCCTGAAAGAAACCGTATCAACTGCTACAGCTCAAATCGAAACAGTCAGTTTGCAAGAAATAATTGTTGGTGAAACTATTGCTGCAGAAGATGTAGCTTCGACGAGGAAAGATAAGAATCCTGAAACAACGACCGCCGCAATCTCAATGAATCAGAATGAGAGCTTGCACACTACAATGATCGTAATAAGTGAGAAAGAAACTGAATATCTCGATATGACTGATGTTAAAAGTGCGTTTGCAAATACTGAATATATGACGCAAGTGGCTCCTATATGCGAACAAATAAGAACAGAATCGCCGACTGAAGAGTATCTAATGATAGATAAACCTGTGAGTGGAAAAGCATATTCATCTCATGTGCCTATAGAAACTGTCAGTATCGTTATGCAAGAAACCGCGGAAAAGGAAAATATTTATAAAGCAGACATCAAACCCGAGGAAAAGATAGCGAACATTAAACTCACGGAGACAATGCCTGGCGCCAGCGTTCTAGAAATAATTCCACATGATCTCGAGAATATTTATAAGCTAGATACTGAACCACAGACTTATACAATTGAGTCATCCATAACTGGTCACACTATCGCCTCAAAGGCAGAGATCTTAGTAGAACAAAGTGCTGGAAAAATAAGTAGTAATCTATCAAAATCAAGTAAAGCAATAGTACAACAAGAAGCTTTGGAAGAATTGATAGTAACAGAAACAAATGTTAGCGAAGCAGAACGAATTAGAGATGAGGATGCGAGTCCTATTAAACAAAATGCCGAACTTCAAGTATGCGCTCAATCTGAAAATTTGACCGTCACTGAAATAACTACCGTATTAACGGAGGAAGAATTGTTAATAAAAAAGTTACCAAATGAACGAAGAATTGTATTTGATATAACTGAGGGCCATAAAATAGCTGAAACACAGGAGATGATTCTTGCAAGCAATATAAGTGCATTGAAAGAAGAAAGACCAAACCAAGAAAATGCCAATCAATTGCAAAGCGGACTAGATGTTGTACAACAAATGGAAGTATCAGTATCAGAGAAAGAATCTCTTTTAGAAACGGATGTAAAACCTAATACTAAAAAAGTTGGCATTACTTTTCAAGAGGGAGAAAGTCTAACAATTGAAATTACGCATCCTGAAGATAAAGAAGATATACTTGGTGAAAAACAGATGCTGAAAACAGCCGAAGCTACAATGGACGTAGTAACACAAAATATAGCATCAACATTTGAGATTGTTAGTGGCGTCGTTCCAATTGAATTAACTACTAAACCTATCCAAGATGCACGTCCTAAAGCGACATTATTACCACTTGAAACAGCCGTTGCTGAAGAAGTACAAACAAGAGAAACTGAAAAACTTTTTTCTCAAATGTCGGTACCAGAGAGAAAAGCTAATTTTGAATTTGTAATGGGTGAAGTTCTTGTCGTTTCTTCTGTAACAACTGGTGACAAAGAAATCATGTCTGCAGAAATAGAAAGACCACAATTCAAATCTGCTACTTTCGATATTCCTACTTATACCGTGGCAGAAGCTGCTGAAATAACTGTAACTGACAACATTAACGAATTAATACACGAAGAGACGATCTCTGCAATGGCTACAACCGAGCATATAGCTCATCATAGTATTGTTACATCCGAAATGTCAACTGGTGACTCAGAACAACTTATGCTTGACTTCGTCAAACCAGATAAAAAAAGAGTAGATATATCATTCGAAGAAGAAACAAGCGTAACAGTGATTGAAACAATTGCATCTGATAAGGAACGAGAATATTTGAAAAAACCGGATATTCCAGGTGAAAAAATCAACACTAGCTTTGATGCTCATAAAATCGCTCAACTTACTGAGGTTACACCAGCCATTTATTCAGGAGATTTTAACGTGAAAGCACCAGCGACAGCAGCAGCAAAAGAGGAACGTTTACCGTTTGAGAGTATCGTCCAAAGCGAAACTATTGCAACAGAAACAGAAACAGAATTTCAAGATAAACAAGCCAAAACTGACACAGCTCGAATATCCGTCGACGAGATTATCAGTGTCACTATGTCTAGTGAAATTTTAGGCGAAAAGGAAGATATTCTCCAAATTCCTAAAAAACCTACAGAGAAAAAAGCCGAGATTCAATTTGCCGGACATATTATTGCTGAGAAAAGCGAAGTCATTTCAAGTTCTAGTGCTGGAGAATTGATGGAAATAAAACCGACTTCTATTTCAACCATATTTTCAAATATTCCGTTAGAGGCAATAGTAACAATGGAAACTCAGCCAACGGAAATGGAAACTATACTCAAGAAAAATATAATACCATCCACGATGCAAGCTAATCTTTCCATGATAATGGAACAAAGTGTACAGGTATCTGCGGTAATCTTAGAAGATAAAGAAACAGAATGTAAGCCGAAAGAAATACCAAAAACAAAAACAGCGGAAAAAACTCTAATGGAAACTCATGGCGTCGCCGAAACAACAATACAAATTGCTAATTTTAGCACTCGTGAAATAGCTACTAGCGAAGCACCACTGGCTGCCGTCGCATTTCCAGATCACATAAGTTTTAATTCACTAGTAGAATCACAACCTGTTATTCAAGAAGGAGAAGAGCAATTTACGCCAGCATTAATACCGAAAAATAAAATTGTAAACATTGATATAGAAGAAGGTAAAGCCATCGCAAGTATAAAGCATATAACACCAGCAGATAGAGAATCGATATATATCATCGGGGAACAACCGTGTCAACACGCTGCTTCATTCGATATTGATGCTACTCACAGTGTAGCAGAAACGTCCGCGGTAGCTATTGAATATTCTGTAGGAGAAGTAACTATCGAAAAGCCAAACGTTAAAACCGTATCATCTACACACGAAGTATATCAAAGTCTTTTAGTAACTGAAGATATGATTCAAGATCAAGAGAAACCATTCAAAAGCAAATTTATGCCAGAACTTCACAAAATAGAAAAATTATCTGTCGAAGAGGGTAAGCGCATTACCTCTGTTACAGAAATTAAAATAGCTGACAAAGAAACTCCCCTTGAAATATTACAGGAAGATAGATCTCACTCGGCACTTTCGGTTATTGTTCCTGGTTACGAAGTCGCTGAGAGATCTGAAATAATTACCAGTTCAAGTACAGATGAAATGAAGGAAGTTATAGTACCAACAAAAGTAACCGCGCTAATTGGCCAAAAACCTTTTGAAACAGTACAATTTTCCGAACAAATCTTAGCGGAGAAAGAAATAGACAGGATTCAGGAAACATCATTGACAAAAACAAAAGCGCATGTTGTTTTAGATGAAAATAGATTTGTCGCCATTACAGAATCCACTAATGCTCAAGACATTGAAGAGGAATTTGCTATAATGAAATTTCGCCATGAAGCCGCAAATCTTTTAATGGAAGGTAAAGAAGTAGTTGAACAAACGGAAATTAATTTACGCGAAGAACTCGGAGAATTATCCTCAGCAATAAAACCGATTGTATGTGAAGCACATAAAACAGAATCAACTTTGGAAGGTATTGACGTTAGCGAAATGGTTCCTCAAGAACAAGGTGCAATATTTACTGATAAATTTAAACCCGATAAGCGTAACGCTGAGATTAGCTTTGTCGAGGGGAAAAGTATTACCGTAGATCATATCTTAACACAGGACAAAGAAGAAATAATGAATATTCCAAGATACGAAGAGAGTATGGCAAGAATAAAACTAGGAAAACTTGGTATGGATATTGCCCAAAAAGCTCAAATATTTATCGAACAAAATACTGGACCAATCAAACCTTTTGAAAAGATACAAGCCGAAGCTCACATTAAACAAGATATATTTCAACCCATTATAGTTCATGAAGTTCCAAGTGCAGAAAGCGAACGTATTTTCAATAAACATCCAAAGATAATATTCAGTACAGCTATACCAACATTTGAAGAGGGCCATGGTGTATTTATTACGGAAATAACATCTGCCGAAGTCGAGGCATTATTAGAAGAGAAAAGACATAAAATATCGCAAAAAGCTGTCGATACTATTGTTACCGAGCACGATATGATAGAGACCACAATGGTGGAATCACGAGTAGACGTACCTGAACAACCTTCAGATTATATTTCAATGCCTCAAGTTGCCGCACCAGCTCGAGATACGTTTGAAAGCATTATTGTTAACGAGAATATTATCGAAGAAAGCGAGAAGACTTTTGATGATCTTTTTAAACCTGCAGCACAAAAAGCGAATATTGATATAACAGAGATAAAGCCATTGCAGATTTCAGAAACAATTATTGAAGACAAAGAAGGGATGTTGAATATTGTTTCAAAACGAACTGAAGTCAAAGCTACATCAGATATCGATTTATTCCAAACTATTGAAGGTTCTTTTGTAGAAAGTATACAAAATACTCGAGAGCTTCAAGAAGAAAAACCACTTTCCTCTCAAGCGACTATGATTCAGACCACAATGGAATCAATAGTAAAGTCAGAAACAACACCAGCCGAAAAAGAAGACATTTTTGAATGCAAGTTCCAATTCGAAGGGCAAAAAAGCAAACCGCAATTCGAAAGTTTTACAACGGTTGTAATTACTGAGACAGCTTCTAATGAAATCGAAGATATTTTACCTAAAACCATTACACCAAAACAACATCGGGCACAATTAAAGTTGACAGGCAGAGAAACCGCGGAAGTCCTTCAAATAGTTACAGCGAATACAATCGAAGATTTTGCAAAATCTACTAAATTATACGAACAAAGAGGTAAACCAGGACTCGAAGAATTATCATCCGTAACTGTTTCCGAAATTATTTCCAATGAAACTGAAAATCTTCTAACTAGTAAGACTATTCCGAAAGATGGTAAGGCTAATTTTAATATTTCTGGCAGAGAAGTCGCCGAAACAACTGAAGTAACAATATTATCTGAGACTAAAGAACTTTCTACAGAAAGATCTGAAGAACAAAAAAGCAACCAACAAATCAATGAATTAATTCCACTGACTATTTCACAAGTAATTTCTAGTGAGGCCGAAGATACATTAGTTAGCGCCAAGCTTCTAGCGGAGAAAATGGCACAACCAAATTTGTTTGGAAGAGATATCGCAGAAACAACACTAGTTTTAACAATGACTAATGCTGAAGAACTCATTCCTAAAAAAGAAACCGGAAAACAGAAAGGTACAATCAGTCTCGAAGAATTTATGCCATTAATAGTTTCACAAACAGAATCTCAAGAAACTGAAAATGTTCTTACTAGTCCCAACATGCCAACTGAGAGAACGGCGCAAACAAGTTTATATGGCAGAGATGTAGCAGAAACTACAGAAATAATGACTGCGTTAAGTCTAAATAAATTTGTTGAAACTGAAAAACCCCAAATACAAAAGGGAAAACCAAATCTCGAAGAATTATTATCCTTAAATATAATGCAAACTATATCAAATGAAACGGAAGCTCTAATGCCTAGTACAGAAATGCCTACGGAAAAAATGGCACAAACTAATTTATCCGGTAGAGATGTTGCGGAAACTAGTCAAGTTTTAACAATGATGAGCACAGAAGAAATTTCAAATCAAGTATCACCTGACCAGCGTAATGGAAAAATACAAATAGAAGAATTATCGTCCCTGACTATATCTCAAATATTATCTCATGAAACCGAGGAAACTTTCGAGAGTTCCAATGCACCTGATAAACTCACTGCGATGCCTACAATGTCTAGTAGAGAAATTGCGGAGACTTCTCAAGTGTTTACTGTAACAAATACTGAAGAACTTTCAAGACCTAAAAGTCCAACAAAACAAAAAGGTAAACCACAACTAGACGAACTTTCCTCACTTTTGGTTTCTCAAGTAATATCTACAGAAACAGAAACACAACTGCCAAGTGTAGAAAAATTAGAGGAAAAAATAGCCATTCCATATTTCTTAGGCAGAGAAATAGCTCAGAAAGTTGAAGTTATAACCGCTGCAACTGTGAAACAAATACCCGAATTGAAGAAAAAAGATGACCAAAAAGGAAAACCAAACATTGAACAAATGAATTCTATTACTATATCTGAAGTAATTTCTACGGAATCAGAACAAGAATTACTAAGTCCAGAAATTCCAAAACAACGAAAAGCGCTGCCAAAACTACCCAGCATAGAAGTCGTAGAGATGTCAGAAGTTTTGACAGTGAGTAATGTTGAAGAACTTGCGAAATCACCAGCTCTAGAAAAACATACAAGTAAACAAAACTTAGAAGAACTAATGCCATTATCGATCTTTGAAGTGGCTTATACCGAGGCAGAAAAAATATTACTTACACCAGAAAAACCAACTAAACAAATAGCCGAAAAAACTATGTTAGGCATGCGCGTTGCCGAGAAGTCGCAAGTATTTACGTCGTTGACAACAGACGAGATGACAGAGCCAGCTAAATCTCTGATCGGAAAAATAACACCAGAACAAATACCCTTTGAGAGTATACAACAAATTGAATCAATTATTCATGAAAGCGAACATTCTCTTCTTCCCGATAAGAAGACACCAAGTACCATAGCCGAGGTTTCATTCGGTATTTCTGAAAGTGTCGAAATTATTCAAGTAACTGCTACAGAGAAGGAAACAAAGGAAGTTGTCAAAAGCTTGGACAAAGCAACTAAACAAACAGCAGAGCAAACAATGCAGAGTATTTACGTTGCAGAAAAGTCTCAAGTAATTACATCGTCAACAACAGAAGACATGACATTTGTTAAGCCAGAGATACAAAAAGTAACACCTGAACAAATACCGTTTACAAGTATACAGCAAATTGAATCAATTCTCCACGAAAGCGAGCATTCGCTTCTTCCTAATAAAAAGACACCAAGTAAAAAAGCCGATATTTTATTTTGCGTTTCCGAAGGCATTGAAGTTTTCCAAGTAACCGCTACAGAGAAAGAAGCAAAAAAAGAAATAAAAAGTTTGGAAGAAGCAAATCACCAAATAGCTGAGCTGAGTATGTTGAGCATAGACGTTGCAGAACAATCCCAAGTGATTGCATCGTCAACAATAGAGAACATGATTGAGTCCGTTAAACCGGAAATAAAGAAAATAATACCAGAACAAATACCATTTGAGAGCATACAACAAATAGAATCAATTTCTCATGACAGAGAAAGTTTAATTCTTCCTGACAAAGGTACATCTACCGTAACGGCCGATGTTACATTCCGCGTTTCTGAAGGCATCGAAGTTACTCAGATAACCGCTACGGAAAAGGAAACGAAAAATATCATAAAAGATTTGGAAAAAGCAACGAAACAAATAGCCGAGCAAAACATACCGACTATACACGTTGCAGAACAATCTCAAACTATTACTTCCTCAACAACAAAAGAAATGGTAGAATCTATAAAACCCGACATAAAGCAAATAATACCAGAACAAATACCGTTTGAAAGTATACAACTGATTGAATCAATTCCTCATGAAAGTGAACGTTTACTTCTCCCAGATAAGAAAGTAGCAACTACAGTGGCTGACGTTTCATTCCGCGTTTCCGAAGGAGTCGAGGTTATTGAAGTAACAACTAAAGAAAAAGAAACAGAAGAAATCGTAAAATTAGAAGAAGCAATTAAACAGATAGCTGAGCAAAATATACTGAGCATGCGCGTTGCAGAACAGTCTCAAGTAATTGTATCGTCAACATCGGAAGAAATTATAGAATTTGATAAACCAGAAATAAAAACGATTACACCGAAACAAATACCGTTTGAAAGCATACAGCACATGGAGTCAATCTCTAATGAAAGTGAACATACGCTTCTCCCCGATAAGAAAATACCAAGTAAAAATGCCAATATTTCATTCTGTGTTTCTGAAGGCGTCGAAATTATTCAAGTAACTGCTACGGAGAAGGAGACAAGGGAAGTTATAGAAAGTGTAAAAGAAGCAACTAAACAAATAGCTGAGCAGAGCTTGTTGAGTATGTCTGTCGCTGAAAAAACCCAAATAGTGCCGTCATCAACAACAGATGAAATTATAGAATCTTCTAAGTTTGAGAAAAAGAAAATTATTCCAAAACAAATACCGTTTGAAAGTATACAACAGATTGAATCAATTCCTCATGAAAATGAACGTCTGCTTCTTCTCGATAAAAAGACACCAACAACAAAAGCTGATATTTCATTCCGTGTTTCCGAAGGCATCGAAGTTATCCAAGTAACCGCTACGGAAAAGGATACTAAAGAAATCGTAAAAGGCTTAGAAGAAACAACTAAACAAATAGCCGAGAAAAGCATCTTGAGTATGCCCGTTGCACAAAAATCTCAAATAATTGCGTCATCAATAACAGAAGAAATGATAAAATCTATTAAACCTGAAACGAAAAGGATAATTCCAGAACAGATACCATTTGAGAGTATACAACAAATTGAATCAATTCCTCATGAAAGAGAACACTTACTTGTTCCGGATAGAGACACATCTGTCGCAACGGCTGACGTTACATTTCACGTTTCCGAAGGTGTCAAAGTTATACAAGTAACTGCTACAGAAGAGGAAACAAAGGAAGTTGTCAAAAGTCTAGACAAAGCAACTAAACAAATAGCCGATCAAAGTATGTTAAGTATGTCTGTTGTAGAACAATCTCAAGTAGTTACATCGTCAACAACAGAAGAAATGATGGAGTCTGCTCAGCCAAAGATAAAGAAGATAATACCCGAACAAATGCCCTTTGAAAGTATACAACAAATTGAATTGATTCCTCACGAAAGTGAACATTTGCTTCTTCCCGATAAGGAGACACTAAGTACAAAGGCCGATGTTTCATTCCGTGTTTCCGAAGGCATTGAAGTTATCCAAGTAACTTCCTCGGAGGAGGAGATAGAAAAAGTTGCAAAAAATGTAGGACAAGTAACTGAACAAGTGGCCGAACAGAGCTTGTTAAGTATGTCCGTTGCTGAAAAAACTCAAGTGGTTCCGTCATCAACAACAGACGAAATCATAGAATTTTTCAAGCCTGAGGAAAAGAAAATTATTGCAGAACAAATACTGTTTGAGAGCATACAACAAACCGAATCAATTCCTCATGAAAGCGAACGTATGCTTGTCTCCGATAAGAAGATACCAAGTGTAAAGGCCGATGTTTCATTCCGCGTTTCGGAAGACATTGAAGTTATCCAAGTAACAACAGCCGAGAAAGAAACAAAAGACATTGTAAAAAGTGAAGAACTAAATAAACAAGTAGCTGATCAAAGCATGTCAAGTATTTCTGTTGCAGAAAAAATACAAGTTTTTACGTCATCAACAACAGAGGAAATTAGAGAAGTTTCTAAGCCTGAAGTAAAGAAAATTATTCCAGAACAAATACCGTTTGAGAGTGTATTACAAACCGAATCAATTCTTCATGACAGCGAAAGTTTGCTTCTTCCCGATAAGAAAACACCAAGTACAAAAGCCGATATTTCATTTTGCATTTCTGAAGGCGTCAAAGTTATCCAAGTAACTGCTGCGGAGGAGGAAACAAGGGAAGTTATAAAAAGTGTAGAAGAAGCAACTAAGCAACTTGCCGAACAGAATATATTAAGTATGCCCGTTGCTCAAAAATCTCAAGTAATTACATCATCAAAAACAGAAGAAATTATAGTTTCTGCCAAGCCTGAAGTAAAGAAAATTATTCCAGAACAAATACCATTCGAGGGCATACAACAAATTGAGCCAATTTCTCATGAAAGTGAATGCTTACTTATTCCTAATAAAAGAATGACAAGCGCAACAGCTGGTGTGTCATTCCGCATTTCCGAAGGAGTCGAAGTTATCCAAGTAATCGCTACAGAGAAAGAAACAAAAGAAGACGTTACAAATTTGGAAAAAGTATCTAAACTAATAGCCGATCAAAGCATGCTAAGTATGGCAGTTGCTGAAAAATCTGATGTGATTACGTCGTCATCAACGAAGAAAATGATGGAATTTGTTAAACCTGATGTAAAAAGAATAACAGCAGAGCAAATACCTTTTGAAAGTGTACAACAAATGAAAATGATTCCTCATGAAAGTGAACATTCCATTATCACTGAAAAAATGGTACCAGGTACTTCAGCCGAAGTTTCATACCACATTTCCGAAGGTGTCGAAGTTATCCAAATAATTCCTACGGAGAAAGAAGCAAACGATGTCGTCAAAGGTCTGGCTAAGGAAGTAAGCGCGCAAGAGGATATAATTAAACGAAAAGTTGCTCTAAAAACTGAAATTCATTCAGAAAATATAGTTTCGGAATTCAATGTCCCAAAACCAGACAGTAAAACAGCTCATAATATAAAAGATGAAAATCAAGGTATAATTGTTACTGAATTACAACACATTACTGAAATTGAATCAAATTTGCCCGAACTCGTAATTCCGATAGTGCCAAAAATAGCAAGTACATCTATTGAAGCCGACTACTTGGAAAAAATTGTAGGTAAGTATTATACGTATAGAAAGGTAACATGATAGATTGCATTGATAATTTACTCGCGACGTTTGAAGAAATTTGATTCGATTAAACACAATGATCGTAACATTTAATAAGTTGAACATATCAAACAAATTATATAAGTATGTTAGTTTATGTTAACAAAAGTGGTAAAAAGAGGAATGTAATCAAAACACACAAAGCAGGGATTGTTGGCATTTATTGCAATGTTTAACAAAATAATGTTTGATTTAACATTACAATCTTATTACATAGACTGTCTTGGTAAGTACAGAACTAAAAAATACAGAGTTATAATTTACTGACATTTAAATAAGAACACCTATTACATTATACTCGTCAACAAGCAGCTAATTTTACCACGCTTCGTATAATATCCACCATTCAAGTAACAAATTATAAATAAAGAAGTTGTTAATGTATTACTTATGATTAATATGTTGTTAAACGTTACAAATACTAATACAATATCAAAATTCAAGTAACGTAGATGACAGATCAACAGAACATTTTACATATAATTTAATCACATACCACACTTTTTCTGTGTACATTTCAGAAACTACAGAAACATCAGAGCAACATCATATCACAGTCACACAACACACCACAATACACGAAACAAAACAACCAATAAATGAATCTGATACTGAAATAATTGAAGAATATACCACAAAATTTAAAACTGGCACTAAAGAAAATGAAATGGCAGCAATTAAAACAAAGAAAACAACAATTCGAAAAAAGAAACCAAAAACTAAATCGGAAAAAGACAAAATTGTAATAATTGAAGAAGAAATAGAAGACATAAAATCACAAGTACCATCTATACCAAAAAAGCAATTTATGCATATCGAAGAAGTAACAGGACAAATAGAAATAGAAGAAATAGTACCAACAAAAATTGAAGAATTAGAAGAAACAACTGAAAATCAAGAAGAAACAAAAATGACAGTACAAAACAAAGAAATAGAAGAAATAGTATCAACAAATATTGAAGAATTAAAAAAAGCGACTGAAAATCAAGAAGGAATAATAACGGCAGTACAAAACGGAGAAATAATTATAAAAGAAGAAGGACGATTACCATTAATTATAGTTACAGAAGGACCAGTAAAGGAAATCATCGAAGAGATCATCCTTCCTATATCACATACGGAATTCGCCAAGCCCATTGAAGAGCAAGATATAAAGAATCAAGTAACAGTGACCGAAGAAGCAATTAAAGGAAAAAAATCTAAAAAAACGGGACAATTACCTACAACAACAGTTAAGGAAGATACAGTAGAAGAAATCGTCAAAGAAATTATATTTTCTCCATTACAACCTGAATTCGCAAAATCTCTTGAGAAGGGAAAATACAAAAAGCAAGTAACAGTTACTGAACAAGCAATCGAAAGAATGAAACCGAAAAAAATTATTAAAAACAAAATAATTAAACTTAAAGGACAAAAACAGCAAGTGTGTGTGACAGACGAGACAACTATAGAGGAACAGGGACAATTACCCACAACAACAGTTACGAAAGGTACAATAGGAGAAATTGTTGAAGAAATTGTACTTCCTTTACCTCAACCTGAATTCGTCAAACATTTTGAAGAGGGAGAAATAAAAAAACAAGTATTAGTGACTGAAGCAATCGAAGAAAAGGAACCGGAAAAAACCTCTAAAGAGAAAATTGTTAAACGTAAAAGACAGAAACAACAAATGATGAAAGACACAACAATACAGAAACAGAGACAACTACCAGTAACAGTTACGGAAAGTCCGATAGAAGAAATCGTCGTAAAACCGATACTTCCTCTAACACAATCCAAAAGCACTGAGCACAATGGACAGAAAGAAATAAGGAAGCAAGTAACGAAAACTGAGAAAATAATTAAAAATAAAGAACCGAAAACTATTACTAAAAAGGAAATTATTAAACGTAAAGAGCAAGTGATAGAAGAGACAACAATAGATATAAAGGAACAACTACCTGTAATAACAGTTCCAGAAGGTGCAGTAGAATTAATTGTTGAAGAAATTGTTCTTCCACTATCGCCTCCTAAATTTGTAAAACCCCAAGAAAAGGAGGATATAAAAGTGCAAACAACACTAATTGAAAATACAATCAAAGGGGAGAAACTAAAAACGATTACTAAAAAAAAAATCATTAAACAAAAAGGACAAAAACAACAGATGACACAAAAAACAATTGTAGAACAAAGACAATTACCTGTGACAATAGTTACAGAAGGTCCATTAGAAAAAATAGAAACTGTATATTCTCTGCCACAATCCGAATTTGCTCAGCGCTTCGAAGGGGAGGAAATAAGGGAAACGGATAAAATTATAATGACTGAAGAAGTTATTGAAGATAAAAAACCGAAAGACATCACTAAAAAAAAAATTATTAAACAAAAACAGCAAGGGACGCAACAGACTATCATAAAGATGAAGGATCAACTACCTGTAGCAACAATTATGGAAAGTCCTGAAGAAGACGTCATTAAAGAAACTGTACTTGCTCTATCACAATCTGAATTCGCCAAGCCCTTTGAAGAAAAAAAAATAAAAAAGCAAATAATAGTAACTAAGGAAATAACTGAGGGTGAAAAATCGAAAAAGATTATTAAACATAAAGGGCAGAAACAGCAAGTGACAGAAGAGACAGTAGATAAAAACGAACTACCTATAATAACAGTTACAGAAGGTCTAGCAGACAAAATCAGTAAAGAAACTCTTCCACTATCTCATCTCGAATTTGTAAAACCTCACGAAAAGGAGAAAATAAGGGAGCAAACAATAGTAATTGAAACAGTTGTCAAAAAGAAACCGAAAAACATTACTAAAAAGCAAATTATCAAACATAAAGAACAAGAACTACAAGTAATTGAAGAAGTAACTATGGAAGAAAATGGTAAGTCACCTGTAACATCAATTACGGTTAGCCCAATCGAAGAAATTGTTGAAAAAACTTTATTACATCCTGATTATGTTAAATTTATTGAAGAAGAAAATATGAAAGATGATACATCACTTAAAAAGCTAGTAAAAGAAGAAAAACCAAAGATTATTAAAAAGAAAATTATTACGGTCAATGAGGACAAAGAGAAACAGGAGGCAAAAATTACAAATCTTCACGCAGACACTACACCTAAAATACATATTAAACACGATGGATTGATAAAGTATAAAATTAGTAAAAAAACTTTGGAAGGTAAGTTTGGTTTCTATTTTCAGTGTTTATTAATTTTTACGGCTTATTGAAACATATATATCTCCTCTGCAATTTTTATGTATAAAATGAATAGACATCTCATTAAAATTGAAAGTAAGGAAAGATAAAACATTTATCAATTATTTTCTGATAATACTAATATTATACATAACATTAATAGTATTATTATGTCACATATTGAAACACAATTGTCAGTTAAAAAATTTTTAGTGATCTTATTTTAATCTGATTTCTCTTACCTTTGTTTTTTAGGTACCAGAGAAGAATCACTATATCAGGTAAGCAAAAGAGAATACAAAAACTTATTCTATTTAGTATATTATATCATATTTTATATTGTTATCATATTTTTACAGGAAGAAGAATCGATTTACAAAATGCCTGAAGAAACTTTAGAACAAATTGTAACTAAAGAAATAGATTTTCAAAAGGCTCAACCTCTTGTCGATAAAGAAGAATCGGTAGAAATTATAAAAATAGATCTTAAGAAGGCACCAGTAGAAGAAGAGAGGATATCTATCATCGAAGAGAACGAGAATATCAAAAAGCCGACACAGAAAATCATTAAGACAAAAAAATTACCAAAGAAAAAGGATGAACATGTTAAGGCAATCGAAGAAATAAAACCAGAGAAAATAGTTGAAATGCCAACCAAAGAAATAATTGAGAAAAAGGCACATATAAAAGAAACTGCTGACGTTCTTGAGCAAGTCGTAGAGGAAATTCAAACGGACATGCCAAAAAAAGAAAAGGTTAAAGTTATCGTGGAAGACAAAAAAAATACTGTTACAGTTACAAAAATAGATGCACAGAAATTAATTGTTAAAGTACCTGAAGAAAAAATAGATGTTGAAAAGGAAATAATAGAAACTGTTGAAATACCTGCAACCAAAATAATTGAAAGTCTAAAATTAACAACAGAAGATCAACATAAAAAAATTGATCAGAAACCAATTGAAAAAACTCAAATAATTGCTAAAGAAAATATAGTCGAAATTATTGAAACGCCAATAGAAAAGAAAATAAAGAGAAAAAAGGAAAAGCCTCATGAAGATAATTTGCTACAAGAAATTGTTACAGAAATTATTTTAGATAAGCCACAGATGGAACAAGCTCAAACTATATTTAATACTAGAGAGGGTATCGAAGTTATGCAAATCTTAACAGAATTCTCCGTTGCTAAATTCACAGAAGTTGAAGCTATACCAAGAGAAGCTGCAATGTACGAAATTAAAAAAGAAGAAAGCCCATTAAAGACAATTTTAAGGGAAGAAGTAAACACGATTCCTGTACAGGAACAAATTACCATCGAAATTACTCAAGAAATATTAAACAAAAAACCAAAAGAAGAAAAAATAAAATTGACTATCATACCAAAAGAAGGAATTGAAGTTACTGAAGCGATTCCGGACACTTCCACTGAGGATCTTCTTGAAATGATAAAACCAATAAAAGAGACGATATTTCCAATGAAAGAAGAGGAACCACAAGTTGATATAAAAAAAGTTACTGTAAAGAAACCAAAAAGGATTAAATCAATACACGCAAGTAAACAACAAGATGAAGAAGAAATTGTCGAAGATGTTACATTAGATAATATAACACAAGAAAAAGCGGTAAAAATAATAAATGCAAATGAGAAAATAAAAACTACGAAAATTTCAGAAATTACAACCAATGAAATTGATAATAGTAAAACTCAAGAAGACCGATTAGAGGAAGCAATAGAGGATATAAAAATGAAAAAACCCAAGAAAGAAAAGGCTACAAAGAATGTACTTTTACAAGAAAGTGTCGAAATTTCGGAAGTAACAACAGAAATAGTACCTGAAGAATTCATCACAGAAAAAACATTTGTTGAAGAAGAAGCAAAATCAAGTGTTTTACCAATAGAAAATATTGAAACTACTAAAGTTAATCTAGCTATAGCAGATGTTGAAATAATAAAAAAGAAAAAAATAAAACCTAGCAGGACTGACATTAAAAAAGAAAAAGAAAAAAAATTATTTCCTATCGAAAAAGAAGAGGTCACTCAAGAAAAAATAATACTTAGCCAACCTAAATTAGAACAAATACAAATAGAAAATATTACACCAAAAACTACAGAAGTGACAGAAATAATTCCCAAAGTTAAAATGGAAGATACTTTAAAGGAGAAGAAAAAAGAAAAATCTAAAGATGAATTGAAGGAAGTAAAAACAATATATCCTGAAAAAATGAAGGAATTTGAAAAACCAAAAGAAGAAATTGAGTCTACTGTAGAAGAAAAACCAATAGATCTTAAACCTATCGAGAAAATAAAAGAAAAGAAAGTTATAAAGAAAAAGATGAAAAAAACCGCCAAGAAAGACAACATAGAAGAATGGATAGAACCTGAGTATGAAAGACCTGTACTAGAGCCGATGCCTGAAAAAATTCAATGGGAATCAATAAAAAAAAAGAAAGAAAAGGAAATATTGCCTGAATCTATACAAAAATTAGTTCCACAAAAAATCGAAAGAAAACAAATCAAACCTACAAAATTAAAATATATTGAACCATTGCAAGAAATAGTCCAATTCGGTACAATTAAATTAAAAAAAGCACCAGTTGTTAAGAAAAAAGAAATAATTGAATCAACATTTCCTAAAATCATGTTACGAAGTAGAATTACATTTATCAATGATTATCCAGCACAATTACAAGTACCAAAAGTTACGTACATAGAAAAGAATCCAACACAAGCTGGCATTTTATCTAGAAATACTGATGAAGCATTACAAATTATAAAGAAAAAATATAAAAAACCTAAAATATTAGAGAAAGATTTGGTTAAATTAGAGAAATTAGATAAAGAGTTCAAAGAACTAAAAAAAGTTCCATTGGAACAAATAGAAGATAAATCTATTTATGAACGTACACCAAAGAAGTCGCAGGAAACATTTCAAGAACCACAAAAACTTATTACTGGAAAAGGTGAAATAAAACAAGAACATGAAATTATACCGGAAGAGATAAAACTAAAGAAAATACCGATAAAGAAATTAGAACAAATAACAGAAAACAAAGAAACACCTAAAATAAAAGAATCCGTAGAAGATACATCCTTAAAAAAAGTACAACAACCTCAAGAAATATTTACATATGATGAATTCAAACCAATACAATTTGATAAGCCAGAAATCGAAAAATACATACCTGAAGAATTCGAAATATCCAAGAAACCAAAACCTGAACCTGATTCAAAGCCATATAAACCACTTAAGAGCAAAAAACCTGAACAAGATATGGAGCAAATTCCTCTTATAAAAGGTATACCAAAACCACAAGAACCTAAAGAAGAACCTGAGATCAAATTTCGAATACCAACTTCAGAAAAATCCGAAGATGAACCTAAAATAATCACTTTAAAAGGATGGACAGAAACTAAACCCAAAGAAAAAAGCACAGAAGAACACCCAACGAAGGACAAGACATTACCAACAACGCCAAAAGACACTGATGACTATACAGTAAAACAAAAGAAAAAACCAAAAAAGATTAAAGAGGAAGAAATAAAATCACAGGACAGTAATGAGAATAATATTTCAAAACATATTTCTGAAGAAAACCAAGATATATCTACAGAAGAATTAATTATAAAAAAACCGAGGAAGAAATCAGAACCAAAAGAAAAGCAAGTAGTTATCGAAGAAGTTACGTTGAAAAAGAAACCAAAGAAAAAGCTCGTTACTGAGGAATCTGCTGCTGAAATAACTGTAAAGAAACCAGTCCTAAAAAAGGAAGAACAAATTCCGGAAGAAATCTCTGAAAAAATGTTACTAAAGAAACCAGAACAAGAAATTCCTAAAGAAGAAATTGTTGATGAGGTGACAATTAAGAAACTGGTTGCTGAAGAAGGAAAAGAAGATGTAAAAGGAGTTACCGAAGAAGTTACGTTGAAAAAGAAACCAAAGAAAAAGCCCGCTACTGAGGAATCTGCTGCTGAAATAACTGTAAAGGAACCAGTTCCAGAAGAGAAAGAACAAATTCCGGAAGAAATCCTTGAGAAAGTGGTACTAGAGAAACCAAAACAAGAAATTCCTAAAGAAGAAATTGCTGATGAGGTGACAATTAAGAAACTGGTTGTTGAAGAAGGAAAAGAAGATGTAAAAGAAGTTACCGAAGAAGTTACGTTGAAAAAGAAACCAAAGAAAAAACCCGCTACTGAGGAATCTACTGCTGAGATAACTGTAAAGAAACCAGTTCCACAAGAGAAAGAACAAATTCCGGAAGAAATCTCTGAGAAAGTGGTACTAGAGAAACCAAAACAAGAAATTCCTAAAGAAGAAATTGCTGATGAGGTGACAATTAAGAAACTGATTGTTGAAGAAGGAAAAAAAGATGTAAAAGAAGTTGCCGAAGAAGTTACGTTGAAAAAGAAACCAAAGAAAAAGCACGCTACTGAGGAATCTGCTGCTGAAATAACTGTAAAGAAACCAGTTCCAGAAGAGAAAGAACAAATTCCGGAAGAAATCCTTGAGAAAGTGGTACTAAAGAAACCAAAACAAGAAATTCCTAAAGAAGAAATTGCTGATGAGGTGACAATTAAGAAACTGGTTGTTGAAGAAGGAAAAGAAGATGTAAAAGAAGTTACCGAAGAAGTTACATTGAAAAAGAAACCAAAGAAAAAACCTGCTACTGACGAATCTGCTGCTGAAATAACTGTAAAGAAACCAATTCCAGAAGAGAAAGAACAAATTCTGGAAGAAATCTCTGAGAAAGTGGTATTAGAGAAACCAAAACAAGAAATTCCTAAAGAAGAAATTGCTGATGAGGTGACAATTAAAAAACTGGTCATTGAAGAAGGAAAAGAAGATGTAAAAGAAGTTGCCGAAGAAGTTACGTTGGAAAAGAAACCAAAGAAAAAACCCGCTACTGAGAAATCTGCTGCTGAAATAACTGTAAAAAAACCAGTTCCGGAAGAAAAAGAACAAATGCCGGAAGAAATCTCTGAGAAAGTGGTACTAAAGAAACCAGAACAAGAAATTCCTAAAGAAGAAATTGCTGATGAGGTGACAATTAAAAAACTGGTTGCTGAAGAAGGAAAAGAAGATGTAAAAGAAGTTACCGAAGAAGTTACGTTGAAAAAGAAACCAAAGAAAAAACCCGCTACTGAGGAATCTGCTGCTGAAATAACTGTAAAGAAACCAGTTCCAAAAAAGGAAGAACAAATTCCAGAAGAAATCTCTGAAATAGTAATACTAAAGAAACCAGAACAAGAAATTCCTAAAGAAGAAATTACTGATGAGGTGATAATTAAGAAACTGATTGCTGAAGAAGGAAAAGAAGATGTAAAAGAAGTTACCGAAGAAATTACGTTGAAAAAGAAACCAAAGAAAAAGCTCGTTACTGAGGAATCTGCTACTGAAATAACTGTAAAGAAACCAGTCCTAGAAAAGGAAGAACAAATGCCGGAAGAAATCTCTGAAAAAGTGGTACTAAAGAAACCAAAACAAGAAATTCCTAAACAAGAAATTGCTGATGAGTTGATAATTAAGAAACTGATTGCTGAAGAAGGAAAAGAAGATGTAAAAGAAGTTACCGAAGAAGTTACGTTGAAAAAGAAACCAAAGAAAAAGCTCGTTACTGAGGAATCTGCTGCTGAAATAACTGTAAAGAAACCAGTCCTAGAAAAGGAAGAACAAATGCCGGAAGAAATCTCTGAAAAAGTGGTACTAAAGAAACCAAAACAAGAAATTCCTAAAGGAGAAATTGCTGATGAGGTGACAATTAAGAAACTGGTTATTGAAGAAGGAAAAGAAGATATAAAAGAAGTTACCGAAGAAGTTACGTTGAAAAAGAAACCAAAGAAAAAGCCCGCTATTGAGGAATCTGCTGCTGAAATAACTGTAAAGAAACCAGTTCCAAAAAAGGAAGAACAAATTCCAGAAGAAATCTCTGAAATAGTAATACTAAAGAAACCAGAACAAGAAATTCCTAAAGAAGAAATTGCTGATGAAGTGACAATTAAGAAACTGGTCGTTAAAGAAGGAAAAGAAGATGTAAAAGAAGTTACCGAAGAAGTTACGTTGAAAAAGAAACCAAAGAAAAAGCTCGCTACTGAGGAATCTACTGCTGAAATAACTGTCAAGAAACCTATTTCAAAAGAAAAAGAACAAATGCTAGAAGAAATCTCTGAAAAAGTAATATTAATGAAACCAAAAGAAAAGTCTTTCAAGGAAGAAGTTTCCGACGAAGTGACAATTAAGAAACACATTGTCGAAGAAAGAAAAGAAGATGTACCTGAAGAAATTACAGAAACCACTGCAGATATATTATTGAGAGAAAACGAACCAATACCAAAAACCAAAGATGAAGTTACAGAAGAACTAATAATTCAGAAAATTGAGATTATAAAACAACCTGAGGAAGTAATTGAAGAATTTACTTTAAAACGCAAACCACCGAAAAAAGTTCCGAAACCAATTGAAGAAATTTATGAAGATATCACTTTACGTAAATTACGACCAAAGAAAAAGTCAATACTGGATATTAAAGAAGTTACTGAAGTAGAGAATGTAACATTTAAACCACGTACTACAAAAAGAAAAGAGGATGTAGAGCAAGAATTTAAAATATCACTGAATACATATGAGGAAGAAGACATTTCTATGTCCGGTAAAGTGCGTCTAAAGCCAAAAAGACGGCCGCTTACATATTCTGAAGAGACTGGGGAAGAAACAATCAAAATTATCAAAGAAATCATCAATGAATCGGAAGAAGAAGGGAGAGAAGAATACAGCATCGATGAGCTTGATATCGACGAAATGAATATACCATTGAGACGAAAGAAGAAAGAACAAAAAGCTCCATATATTGTAGAAGAAATTGAAGATGATATTAAACTGCAATTAAATCGTGATAGAAAATATTCATACGAGGAAGCCGATGCCGAATCTTTGGCGATGAAGTTGAAGAGCAAGAGACCTGTTTCCACATTCGAAGAAGGTTTGCAGATGGCATACATTCATGCCTTATTAGCATCTACAATTAAATTAATAGAATACGCTTATAATAATAATAATGTATTTTAATAGTTATTTTAACCCTTTAAGAATGAGTATATATGTTTAATTTTCGTGCTTTGCTTTTTCTTTCCTTCACCTAATTGTTGTATTTAAAAAAATTTTTTTGCCTATCTCCTTAAATTTTTCGCTGCATATGAAAAGTGCGTATGAAAAGCATATCGGTTATACATTAGTAGTTACACATTTTAATTATACCTTTTAATATAATAACCAGCGATTTATTTACATAATTAATATAAAAATATTCCATATTCAGAACAGAATAGAACAAAATAGTACATGAGCAAACAGATTCTCTGCTTATTTAAAAACTATATTCGCCTAAAAAACTTTGCTATGTTGTAATTGTACTATAGTTATAAGTTTCCATTTTATTTTGATATTTATTTAATATTTATATGTAATATTGCAGAAAAAGCTTCTCTCAGTATTACTAAAAAAGAGGAAATCTCCGAAGAAGGTTCGCTTTAATGATATTTATTTACATTAATGTAAAATAAAATAATATTTTTTGTTATATTCTATTTTGAATAACTTATTAATGGTTTTCAGTCGAGGAACTTGAATATGTTGTTCGTGAAGGTGATACAATGTTTTCAATTTGTTCTTATATTGCTGAAACAGAAGAAGCTATTAATTTAGTAGAAGGGGAAAAAGTTTATATTATTGGTAAGATCTCTGCTTAATAAAATGTTACTACCACAAATTTACTTTCATACATATTCCATAGATACCATATATATATATATATATATATATATATATACAGGGTGTTTCTTTTAACTCGACCATCTAAAATATCTCCGTTGTTTTTGATGATACTAGAAAATACTACAGGGAAAAGTTGTTCGATTGAAAGGGACACATATTATGACGAGTAAAATTTTTCTCATGGTCATAGTTTTTGAGATTTCTAGGTCATCGCGATTTTTTTAAATGGAATAGCATATTTTCATTAATGTAGTAATGCAATTCATAAAAAAACAAATTCAACCATATAAGATATGTTGTCCTTCAGATGACTTTGGACATAAAAAATTACATTTATATGGGAGAAAGAAAAGTTAACATATTTAAGTGTTTTCAATGAAGATATTTATTTACTTTATTTTAAAAGTTCGAATGATTGCCATTAACTTCCATACATTTTTGAATGCGATAAATAAATGATTGTTTCGCACTTTCAATAATTTCGATTATAAAAGAAATGACTGAACGAATTTATCAAATGTACGTCTGGATGAACAATGACGATCAGGATATTTTTCTGAATGCAATTGTGTAGCTCGCACTGAGTTTCGGCCTGATTTTCCATAAATTAAAATCATTTCTATTTTCTCTTCTTGAATATACATACTTTTGTTGATATTCATATTATGTGCCTCTCGAAACCAAACAACTTTTGTTTAATACTTTTCCTTCTATTGTTAAAAACAAGCGAGTTATTCAGGTGACCTGTTTTAAACAGGTGCCTCATCCTATATATACTATACACATACATGTACACAATTGTTAGAATATCTTTTATTAATAATTACTTTCCACAGATTATACTAATCAGGACTGGTGGTTTGTAAAGAAACATGTGACTGAAGAAAAAGGTTGGGTACCGATGCAATATTTATTAGATGAAACACGTTACACTATTTATTTGCAACATAAATTGCATGAAAAGATTGACAGATTGCCAATCTTTGAGAGTAAGTAATTTATTTACGAAATTGCAGAAATTTGATAAAACAATGCCGTTTGCTAAATTTATTTATCACATAGCAATTTTTTCATAATATGCACTTACAATTTGAAATTTAATATAAAAACTTTTAAAATATTCATATATATTTAATCATTTTAGAACCTATCCCTGGAGATAAAGCCTTAGCACCACGATTTATTGAAAAATTACAACCAATTCATACATTAGATGGTTACACCGTGCAATTCGAATGTCAAGTAGAAGGCATACCAAGACCACAAATAACTTGGTTCCGCCAGACCGCTATTATCAAACCATCTACTGATTTTCAAATATACTATGATGAGGATAATGTTGCTACTTTAATAATCAGGGAAGTCTTTCCCGAAGATGCCGGCACTTTTACCTGCGTTGCAAAAAATGCTGCAGGATTTGCGTCCAGTACTACTGAGCTTATCGTGGAAGCTCCTTTGTCAGATCACGGATCAGATATTACTGGTCTCTCGAGAAAAAGTCTTTCGAGGTACGCATTTCTTATTTTTTCGGATAAATTACTTTGATTAAAATCATCCATTATTTTTTTTAGTATATCTTATTGTAGTTGGATATAGAGATGGGTAGTTCGCGAACGAAAGGTTTAAATGAACGAATCTTTTACGTGAACCAGATGAACTAGTTCACAATTGAGGGGTTGAATTCTATAAGGGGATACATGTGGATTTCGCGGGATAAGTATTGTCCACAGGACTAATTTTGGACATTGCTCTAATTTCAATTTTGATTCTTGTAGAAAATTTCGAGAGGGTAACCACTTAATGTAATCGTGGGATAGAGTTCCTGAAATCAATATAAGATTCATATAAAATCCTTTTGTATAATCCGATAATTACATATGCAATTACAAGGAATAATTGTATAATATCAGATATAATCATTTATTTTACTAAATAACTTTATATACAGGGTGTCATTAACCGAGCGAATCACCTTTCAGGAGCAGGTAGAGTAGACCGAACTGAGTCGAAAAGTCTTATACCATTTTTCAGTTGACGCAATATTTACGAGATATTAGACCTTAAATATAACCGAATAAGCGCGTTCGTCCGGTCTACTACTACCGAATATTCGCCATCGTTAGCTTGGCACGCGGGGAGTGGAAAACATCTCTCGCCGCGAACACCGCCGCGAGCCTCTAAACTCGGACGACACGCCTCAGATCATCCCCGCGCCTCGCGACCCGCGGGCGTAGAGAGTGATTGAGAGGCGTACACGCTTGGCAGTAGTAGGCCGGACGAACGCGCTTATTCGGTTATATTTAAAGTCTAATATCTCGTTAAATATTGCGTCAACTGGAAAAAGGTCTAAGACTTTTAGACACAGTTCGGTCTACTCTACCTGCTCCTGGAAGGTGATTTGCTCGGTTAATGACACCCTGTATATAGTGAAGAAAATTATTTTTCATCAGATGAAATCGTATGAAATCAAACAAAAACATGTAATCTGTGGGACAATATTACAGCTAGTGGTTACCCCCTCGAAATTTCATAGCGCATCTTTTTTGTCTTTAAATCAAATTTGTAACTTTTTTTGTTTTCAAGTTATAAACAAAAAAAGTAATTTTTTAAAATAAAAATATTTTAATAGATTTTTGTGTTCAACTCGCCATATCTCAGCCAAATATGAGTATATTTCTTTGAAATTTTAACAGGATAAACTTCAATATGTTTCTCGAAATATAGAGCATATAAGAAGATTTCGAAACATTTCACAGCCAAATACCGAATTTTTCAAAATATTCCTCTCACATTCGTAGTTTTATTCATACATAAAAGTTATTGTACGAATTTTAGATTTGTCAACTTTTACCGCTATTATAATTTTGTTTATTAATTAATGAAGTTTTTTGGAAAGTTTTAGCTCTTTAAATATTATGGTTGTAAAGTAATAACGATTTATATGTCGATCCGATTACGTAGCACGCTGCGCGCAACGCGAAAGTTCGAGTCGTTCACTTCCGTGAAACGTAGAATAGTTATTTCATTGCATACAATGGAAAGGAGTATGTTTATATTCGCTAATAGATTAAAAAATACGCTATTGTGATCAATTTTTATTGATAATTTTTATTCATATGATACTTGTAGCGATGCGCTTAGCGTATACGGTTATGTCTACCCGCTACTGGTACATGAGTCACCGATCGGCCGTCGCTGTCGGCCTCTGTCGGTGCGGCGCCAGGGATCGCAAGAGAGAGGTTGAAGTCGTGACTCTGTATATAATTTATGTGCACGTTTATTATAGCTATGTACAGATATATACAAAGATGGTAGGTCTTGGTATTTTATGGTGGCCCTGAAAAGGGCCGTTTGGCTTCCTCCTCACTTAGAGGGGCTTCGCTCCTTGTAGGTGAGCGGTGGCTGCGTATGCGTCCACTTGGTGGTGCGCCGCTTCGCACTTACTCGCTCGCAGTAAGTGAGCGAGGGCTGTGTCGCGGTCCTCTTTACCGGGCCCCAGTAGTTCGCGTTCTCGTCTCCGGTTTGGTTGGTGGTCTCCCACTCGGATCCAGAGGACGGCTCCTGTTGTCCCGCTGGTGGAGGCGCCTGCAGGTATCGTGGCGAAGTGTATCGGCGCACTCTGAGGTCCCACGGGTGTAGGCAGTACCTCGGTGGCCTAGTCCTGGCAGGCGGCGGTATGTCCAGCCGGTGCAACTTCCAGGCGGCAAGCTGGAGGGTCACCTTTCGCACGGAGGTCGGCTCTGGTCCCTGCTGACCGGTCGACTGTATCGACGACTCGGGCGGAGACTGTGATGCGTTGCCCAGTTGGTGTTGCCGTCTTGGTGGGCGCCGGAGCAATCCTATAGCCTCCACTGGCCGGATCCTGGGTGTCGTCGCTTGTAGTTGGCGGCGGCGCAGGAGCTGCTGGCGTAGACGCTGGATCAGCGAGGCTCCTCTCTGCCGGGCTGGCTGCTGCGGCGGCTGCCGCTGCGGAGGCTGCGCTGTCCGCTGCTGCGGAGGCTGCGATGGCTGCTGCTGTCGAGGTTGCGATGGCTGCTGCGGCTGAGGCTGCGATGGCTGCTGCGGCTGAGGCTGCGACGGCTGCTGCGGCTGAGGCTGCGACGGCTGCTGCGGCTGAGGCTGCAATGGCTGCTGCTGTCGAGGCTGCGGTGGTTGCTGCGGCTGAGGCTGCGATAGCTGCTGTAGCTGCGATAGCGGCGGTAGCTGCTGTTGCTCGGTAGACCGTAGCTGCGTTAAAAATTGCCGGGTATAGCCCTGCATGCCGCTGCTCGGTGTTCGTTGATCGGTTCGGCGCCTTATCTATAAGGGCTCTGAACCGATTCTTCGCACGCGATAACATTATCGGCGCTAGCCCTCTGGTGGGCGTACCGTGGTAGTTGCGCGTCGCGCAGTATTTGCGTGCGGTCGCGTGCTACGGGCGCTTGTATGGTCGAGTGCTACAGGCGCTTGGATGTTCCCCCCGAGCGCTTGACGAAAGGTAGCTGCTCGGTGGGTTTTCGTTAGTGCGACTGATAAGAGTCGCCACAATACTCTAATTCTTATGTTGTAACTGTAAATAATTAAAAAGTTGAAAAAGATTTTAAGAGCCCTTAAATATATTATATTTTGATACATTATTGATATCCTTGTTTCGCGGAAGCGAAGGGTTCGAACTTTCGCGTTGCGCGCAGCGCGCTACGTAATCGGATCGACATATAAATCGTTATTACATTACAACCATAATATTTAAAGAGCTAAAATTTTCCAAAAAAACTTCCTTAATTAATAAACAAAATTGTAGTACCAGTAAAAGTTAACAAATCGAAAATTCGTACGATAACTTTTGTGATCGAATGAATAAAACTACGCATGCGAAAGAAATATTTTGAAAAATTCGGCATTTGGCTGTGAAATTTTTCGAAAACTTCTTATATGCTCTATATTTCGAGAAACATATTGAAGTTTATCCTGTTAAAATTTCAAAGGAATATATTCATATTTGGCTGAGATATGTATGGCGAGTTGAACACAAAAATCTATTGAAATTTTTTTATTTAAAAAATTACTTTTTTTGTTTATAACTTGAAAACAGAAAAGGTTACAAATTTGATTTAAAGACAAAAAATATGCGCTATGAAATTTTCGGTAATTGTTTACTTTAGGGGACCCAGCTGTGATGACCTTGATCTTGACATATGTTGTCAAGGTCATAGTTCTGAGCAACTTTGTCTTAACCCATTAAGGACCAAATGTACATAAATTTAACATGAAGTTTGACAGTACTTTTTTGTATTAAAACGCAATGAAAAAATTTTTGGAATGGACGTTTTTTACTGCCCAAACCCCGCTCTTTCGAATGGTGTATCGCAAATTGCTGCAAATTTAAAAATAAACAAACTGCGAGCATTTATTTAACAAAAATCACGATTTTTTTAAGTTTTCTTTTCACTTATCGTAATTTTTTTATCATTACCCGTATCAGAATACCTCAGATGGGTATAAATTTCGCGTCAAAAATGTTTGGGCTAGAAGGTACAAGTAATGAAAAAAGAATTTTTTCAAAATGGCGGCTCAAAAATGGCTACGAAAGTCGATTTTTTTTTCAAAATCATAGTCGCGTGTACTCAATCGACTGACTCGAATGAAATCACTTTAAACTTGGTACCCGGAGGTTTTTAGGGTCGCTGATTCCGAATTTGAAGTTAGTTTTTCAAAATTCAAAATGGCGGATCCAATATGGAGGACGAATTTATGGAAATCGATCGAAATTACTTCAAATTTGGTACTTATTTTTTTTTTTGAGTCGCTGGTTACAAATTTCATGTTGCTTGATGTTTAAAATTCAATTTTGTTATTTCAATTTGACGATAACATTGTTTTTTGTAAATATTACATAATTCTTAGCCATCAAAATAATTGAAATATTGATAACGTTACCCGAGTCTCACCTGGTGGAGATAATTAAATTTTAAACATCAAACAACATGAAATTTGTAACCAGCGACTCAAAAAAAAATAAGTACCAAGTTTGAAGTAATTTCGATCGATTTCCATAAATTCGTCCTTCATATTAGATCCGCCATTTTGAATTTTGAAAAACTAACTTTAAATTCGGAATCAGTGAGCCCAAAAACCCCCGGGTACCAAGTTTGAAGTAATTTCGATCGATTTCCATAAATTCGTCCTCCATATTGGATCCGCCATTTTGATTTTTGAAAAACTAACTTCAAATTCGGAATCAGCGACCCTAAAAACCTCCGGGTACCAAGTTTAAAGTGATTTCATTCGAGTCAGTCGATTGAGTACACGCGACTATGATTTTGAAAAAAAAATCGACTTTAGTAGCCATTTTTAAGCCGCCATTTTGAAAAAATTCTTTTTTTATTACTGCTACCTTCTAGCCTAAACATTTTTGACGCGAAATTTATACCCATCTGAGATATTCTGATACGGATAATAATAAAAAAAATTACGATAAGTGAAAAGAAAACCTAAAAAAAATCGTGATTTTTGTTAAATAAATGCTCGTAGTTTGTTTATTTTTAAATTTGCAGCAATTTGCGATACACCATTCGAAAGAGCGGGGTTTGGGCAGTAAAAAACGTCCATTCCAAAAATTTTTTCATTGCATTTTAATACAAAAAAGTACTGTCAAACTTCATGTTAAATTTATATACATTTGGTCCTTAATGGGTTAACAACTAGGTGACTCTTATAATTTTTGAGATATTCAGACTCAATAGTCTGGACTATTGTATACTATCAATAGTTAATATTATGCGTATTCAATAGTCCAGAATACAGTAAGTTCCGCTCCTACTCGCAGGGGGGCTCCACTACTGTTAAAAATAACCCAACCCATTTAGTGGTGTATCGAAGCTGTCGCTTCGCGTAGAAGGTTGAAATCCATGCACAACAGTACAGGCATATGACTTTCTATGCGAACATACTTCTATGGTTGTACCATTGCGCATAAATTTCGACTTTCTACGCGAAGCGACAGCTACTATACATCACTAAATGGGTTGGGTTAGATTATTTTTAACAGTAGTGGAGCCCCCCTCTTGCGGGGGGGGAGCAGAACCTATTGTATTCATGCGTACAGTCGTACACTTTACAATATAAAGCGACATGGAAGTTGCGAGCTCATTCGCAGAAGAAAAGGTGGAGTAAGAGTTGCTTCGCTTCGCATGAATACAGTAGGTTTCACTTTTCACATTTCAAAATAACTTCAACGCTTAATATCTCAAAAACTATAACAGACCGCCACCTAGTTGTTACGGCAAAGTTGCTCGGAATCACGGCCTTGATAATGTCAAGGTCAAGGTTATAGGACCTGGGTCCCCTAAAGTGAACAATTACCAAATTTTCTACAAGAATCAGTCATCAAAATTTAAATTAGAGCGATGTCCAAAATTAGCCCTGCGGACAATACTTATTCCACGAAATCCACGGGTATCCCCTTATAAAATCAGGCCTCTCAATTCTCAAATTATGTAGATCAACTACTTTATCAATCAACGACAAATGTCAAACTGGCAACTGAAACAATTAGGCCTGTTCTACAATACGTCGTATGTCGGCGTCGGATGTCGTGACGTAAAAAATTAACCAATCAGGGTCGATTTTTTTCAACTGTGATTGGCCAATTTCTTACGGCATACGACAACGGCTCCCGACTTATTGTAGAACGGACTTTATTAAAGTACAATTTCACAAGCTGCTCAAACTAGCTGTTTCAGTGACAAAAAGGATCCAAATTGACGTTTGATATTCGTCAATTTTGACTTTTTTTATCGCTGAACTGTTTGACTAGCTCGTGAAAATCTACCGTTATGCGTCAGGCAAAAGTGTGTGCTGTAACTAATAGTCTATAGACTATCTCTATGCATACGTTCGAAGCTAATTGTAATATCAAGAAATCAGTCTCATAACTGGCCATTACGATGGCTAATCAGGACGCTTAACACCGGTCGCACTTCTTTGATAAATCTAGAACTCTAACTCAAGCCATTAATGCGTACCCAGTAATACAACGCATGTGAAAAATTTTGGGCGAGTAGTTCGCGACGAACTGTTTTGACGAACGGATCTTTTCAGTGAACTAGTTCGTATTAACTAGTTCACTAAAAAGAATGGTTTTTCCCATCTCTAATGTTGGATAGTCCTGCTGTACCCTATTTATATTCGTGCGAGGTGATCTTGCTTCCGAGTTATTGCTTAACCGCGTAGCCCTCATGAGGCGGCGGTCGGAACTCGCGCCGGGTGGGCGTCGAGTCCGGCGCCACGCAAACGCCGACACTAGCGCTTCAGGGATGGCGCCGATCGAGCGCATGCACAGGCGACTCAAATTATGACGATTCAGCCGCCACAAAGTGCAATATGAAAAATTAGTTTCCGAGAAATAAGGGAAAGAGTATCTTTTTAGAAGACCAATGTCAGTATTAACGGCTATCTTCTATTACATAATAATTACAGTATACAAAACATGCGTAATATTCAAAGACACGATAGTGTCTAGACGCTTAGAAAACATGTAGCGTGCATAGTACAAGATCGACCGTGTATTTTTAATAATTATACATATATTATCTAATGAATACTATATTTATGTTTTACAAACCTTATACTTTTTATATATATAATACAATAAAATATAAAAATTATAATTATAACTATTTATTTTAATTATAATTATAACTTTTATATTATATTGTATTATATTTTGTTTTCTAATTATATAAGTCTTAATTATTATTTTTGAATTATTTAGAGAATCATCTTTAGCCGATATATTAGAGGGTATACCACCTACATTTTCCCGAAAGCCAAAAGCGAAATATGTACATGAAGGTGATGATGTAATACTGGAATGTCGATTAGTCGCTATACCGGAACCAGAAATAACATGGCACCATAAAGACATACCAGTAGTTAGTCAACAGAACATTAATATTGCATTTGAAAGTGATATGCATATGTACTGCAGTGTTATAAGCTTCACTAAAATTCAAAAGAAGCAAGAGGGAAGATATAAAATAATTGCTAAAAACAGAGAAGGCGAGGCTACTATCGAGATCCCTATAAAGGTTAGTCGACAATATATTTATAAATACATGTTTACACATAACGTATAATTAATACATCTTCTGATGGAACAGGTGAAAACTGGAAAGAGTGAACCACCTGAAATTTTAGAACCATTACAATCCTATATAGTTAAAGAAGGTGAGACTGTTGTTTTATCGACTCAAATAGTCGGTAATCCATCACCGAAAATAACATGGTACAAAGACGGAAAACCAGTAAAGGACTCGCAATTAAAGCAAGACGGACATGTTAATACATTAAACTTGATCCAACCTCAATTAGTAGATAGTGGAGAATATTCGGTTACAGCTATCAATGATATAGGCAAAGTTGAAACTCGGGCTACATTGACTGTTGAGAGTAAGATCAATAACCTCTTTGCATTGCAACATTTCAATGTTTCGCTTTAAGACTATAACATATAAAAAATGTAAGGAGTAAGAAATGAATAGTAAACAAATTAACATTTTTTGTACTCGCTACTGCTGACCTCATCATAATACGTATTTCTACTGTGCATAGGCACCGGCTACAGGGGAGCATAGTAGTTTTGGCCTCCCAATAATTTTTTTACAATCGCAAATAATTTCTGTAATCAACACTGCAAGAAAGCGACGACCACATCACGTAATACGCTATATATAATGTTGGCGCGGCGAATTAAAACCTCGTGTACGGAATCAATAACGAGTTTTGCTAATTATAGTTTGTTTGCTACAGCAGGAACGACATATAGCAAATTTATTGCCAGAGTTGGTGAAGTTTGAAAAAATAATTTTAACGATTCCTGTAAGTACATGTACAGCCGAGTGTTCATTTTCTTCCTTAAGGGGATGCTAAAGTCGTCCTGTTTTATCATAATTCTATTTGAAGAGAAATATCCGAATTGGCTTTACGGATTGCAAAATCCTTTCACAGAATAAAAGTACGCATGAAAAACTATACTGGAAACCCTAATTTCACTAGAAAATCGGAAAAAAAAATTCACTTTTTCTGACACGTACAGCTGTCACTTGAAGTTAACACACATTCACTTAATATAAAAGTTTTAGAGATCGCAGATTGCAAATAAGCGTCTTGCAGTATTGAAATGACTTGTACGAACAATCCTGAGTTTGCGGAACCAAGATTAAATGCGTAGAAAAAAATATTTCTTTTCAAATAGAAATCACGATCTATGCGAGGATTCGGAACGTCAACAGAGTTTGACAGAGCAAAAATTGCGTTTAAAAGTAGTTGCGCCGTCTTGAAATAGATGGTGTTGTAGAGCATCAGTAAAAACAGGTATTGAACGTGATCCTACTTTGCCAGAAAAAGTGAATTTTTTAATTTTTTTCCGATTTTATAGTGAAATTAGGGTTTCCAGTATAGTTTTTCGTGCGTACTTTTATTCTGAAAAAGGATTTTGCAATCCGTAAAGCTAATTCGGATCTTTCTCCTCAAATATAATCGTAATAAAACAGGACGACTTTAGAATCAGCTTAAAGAGATTATTAACGTATATACGAAGTTCTGTAACGCAACAAAGATTAAAATATTTAAATATTTTACATATACATGTAGAAACAATGCAATTAGATGTAAATGCTGTTGCAAATGAATCTATAAACCGCACTGAAAATTGGCGCGCTAACTTCGTACTCGGAATAGAAAGACTGCGTACGTAGAAGTAATATTATGTACATACACTGTAATGAAAGTATCGCAATAGGTCTGTTCGCCTTGTTTACGATTTGCTTAAGCGGGGAGTACAGACTTTTGCATAACGCATAAACCATATACATAAAGAATTTGATTGGTCCATTGACTCATGCATAAGAAAATGGGCCAATGAAATTCCGTATGCATATGCTTTATGCGTTATGCAAAAGTCTGTGTTTCTCGCCTTACACTTTTACACTTAAAATGAGATAAATATATATATTCGTCGAAGAGAAAAAAACAAAGATGTTTAGTGTAAAAAGTGTAAAGCCCAAGACACAATGCGAGGGAATAGTGATAACAATAGGAATAACACAGTTTCAACTTATCAAAAATCGGATATACCGAAATACACAGTTTTTGATAGGTTGAAACTGTGTTATCGCTATTACTTCCCTCGCATTGTGTCTTGGGCTTAAGCAAGACAAACAGACCAAATATCAGTAAATGTAATGTAAGTACCGAGAAAGAAAAGATCGGGAAAAAAAAATTTCTTTGACATCCTTTTTCGGCCCCCTCCCCCCTCATATTTTTCACAAGTCGGTGCCTATGCTGCTGTGATTATTTACTGCTCACATTTTATTTATCACGCCTTACGTCTTTTTATGTGCCATAAGACTGTCGCATACACTTTTAGTAACAACGCTAAAGCGAATCTTGCATAACGCATAATACATAACGTATAAGAAAATGGACCAATCTTCATTTCTTTCCTTTCTGTGAAATAAGAGACTCTGATTAATTGATTAAATAGCATTAATAGCAATTAATAGCATTTTTCACTGATTGCACTAGTGCGCACTGAGTGAGCACTTGACGAGAGCAGCGTGTTCACTGAACGTTTTGATGCGCATGTAAACGGTGCGCGCTGTTTCACTGAAAATCCTAGTGCCGCATTTTTGCACATTAGTGCATGAATTCAGCACGAGCTCTGAGAGACAATGCCAGGTCAATACAATATAGCTGAGCGAGATGATCAATTAGTATTTGGACTGCTAGATTTACTTTCTTTATTATCTAACAGTGATAAAGAGGAATTATTTCCAAAGTTTCGCGAAAAGTTCCAAAGATCAAAAATTTTGTTGAAGTGGTGAAACAACCTAATTTCCGCGCGGATCAGCTCGTCGTAAATTTCGCTAGTCGCGAAAAAAGTTCGCACGGGAAGAGAGAATGCAGAAACTAATAATTAGACAGTAATCTAAGACCAGAGACAGAAACGTTTATTGCGTGTATCGTGTATATTTACAAATGTGTGTGTATGTGTGCGTGTGTGTGTGTGAATGATAAACAGGTGTGTGTCGTGTGTCGGTGTACGCAGGTGTATGTGTGTCGTGTCGAGACGGCAAGTAGACGAGACGGATACAAGACGCGTACAGAAAAACAACAAAGCGCAGATAGAAAAACGAAAATATTACGGATGGCATGAACAGAAAAACTAGAAATGTAAATTACGGCGCGAGTACGGCGGATAACGCGTGGGGATCTTTAAATCCCAATACGGGCGCGGAAATCGCGGACGCGGAGTATACGCCAGCGGCGGAAGACGGTCGCGGCGCGGATGACGCGGTGGGCGTTCCCTCTATGCAATGAGGGACGCTTCGCGGATTGTAGAAGGCACAGATACTCCAGCGCCCGACTGCCAAGAACGCTTAGCGGAGGCGAAGAACACTTCACCCCCTTTTCTCGTCGGTGCGCTAAGTCTAGGATACTGGCGTACGGCTGTCAAGAACGCTTGACGGAGGCAAAGAACGCTTTACCCCCTTTTCGCGTCGTACGGCCAGCGGATCAGGAAATTTGGTGATCGACTGTCAAGGACGCTTGACGGAGACCAAGAACACTTGATCCCCTTTTCGCGTCGGATCACCGGAGCTAGGATTCGGTGCGGAGTTCGTAATGGAGCTGCGGTTAGGATAGAAGAGAGCTCCCAGAGCAATAATTAAGCGTTATATACTAATTATTGCTCCCGCTCGTTTGATTACGGTCTTTTCCGTTATCGCTTGGCGGTCGGCAATTCCTGCGGAGGGGATTGTCGATCGGCGATGTTCGGTCGCGTTCGGTCGGAGCGGCGGATAGCGCGAAGCGCAGATCGTTCGGCGATCTTCGGACGCGTTCGTTCGGAGCGGCGATAGTTACTGTCGACGGCGGTAATTCTAATATCGCGAAATATGAAATGTTTCTGGCGGCTGGTATCGTCGGAACGATGCATTGCGGAGTGCATCGTTACATATTAACTGTACCATGTCTGGAATAAAAGAATATAAATATAAATCAATAATCCGAATCAATCGAAAAATATCAACTCAAAAATAGGAAGAGAAAAATTAATAAATTATTTTAATCATAACTCTAACGGGTCAAACAGAATCGAATACTAATCAATTAATTAATTAGATATGGAAATAATACTTTAAACTTACATTTTTTCTAGCAGCTGATTATCCGCACTGAGGTCTGTATTTACAGACAGCGTATCTAGTGTTCGCTGCCCAGCGCATGTCACGGCTCTTTGAACGCTTGATTTTAATTTTGCCCTATTTGTGACTCCATGGTTAGTGACTGGTGCATTGGATCGAATGTATCACCATGTATCACTTAGTGACCGACGCACATGATAATCATAACTCTAACGGGTCAAACAGAATCGAATACTAATCAATTAATTAATTAGATATGGAAATAATACTTTAAACTTACATTTTTTCTAGCAGCTGATTATCCGCACTGAGGTCTGTATTTACAGACAGCGTATCTAGTGTTCGCTGCCCAGCGCATGTCACGGCTCTTTGGGGATTGCGTCCTCTGATCACCAAATTATCACTTTTAATTTTGAACAGACTAGCCTGCATGTTGATATTAGCAATATTGTTAACTAAATTATTGATGTTCTCCATTTTGTTTTTTTTTTGCTCTTCTTTTATAGACACGATAATTGACTGAACTGACAGAATAGCGTTTAAGAGACTGATGGACCGCGGGGATGATCGAGAATTTATACTGAAGTTGTACGTGATAAAATGACATTTTAAAAGAGACCGCAGCATCAACATTTTCAAAGTTCAGTGTCTCCATGCAAAAGTGCAATGCCTCGGCTAAAGATTTATATCTTAGTCAAAAAA